ATGATGACGATGACGATGACAATGAGAGTGACAATAATGAAAAAAGCAGCCCAGTAACCAACTGCAATCAGGATCTGCATCACAGAACAGCAAGAGTCTCAAGAAAGAGGCAATGGCAACATTCGTAATTTTGTGATACTAGAGACTAGTGACAGTCGCGGTGGTAGGGGCAAAACTAGATTACTAGAAACAAGAGCGGCAAGGACACTACGACGCATTAATCGGTTTAGTCATGGGGACGCGGGGTGTAGGGGGAGGGGGGTAGGGGGCCTTAATACCACTAATAAAGACCTAATAAGGCCAATTTAAGGAAGTATAGTCCCTACCCCCCTCCCCCCTACCCCCTAAGGGTCCCTGTGTTTTAGGCTTTAAGAGGGTCTAGAGTTTGGGGTTTTAGTAATAGCAGCCGTATGAGGATTGTTCGTCCAACCACTGATACAGAAGTCGAGCAAAAAGGACCCAAAGTGACCACTTCACGTGGAAGCCCCAGACCCTGAGAACTGAATCCTCCAACCTCCGACTGTGAACCATTCTAAACCCTCGAATTCTAGACCGTTGAGCCCTGGAAGGGACACCACAAAACTCTGAAGATCGCAACCCCGAAACCCTAACTCTTACTGTAAGACCCCCTGCTTGTTTGACAGACCTCAGTGGCCCACCAAGGATGGACAACTGAACCCTAAAGCCTAAGACCCAGAAGCCCAAGAGCCCAAACCGTCGTAGCCGAGGCATGACCTTTGACGGCATCCCCGCCGAGCGCGCTGAAGACGAGGCGTTCTGGACCACCATGGCCACCTGGCGCACGCCGCTGTGTGTAGGCGTTGAAAATCGGGGATCTCCGAGCTTTATATGTGCGTCACAAAGACAGTGTTACATAATTACAGCTCATACAGGTGTTTTTTCGTGTATGTCTTCCAAGCTTTTTACATGAGGACTTCGCAAGATTGGGCCCACGCGCACGCGGGTATTTGGGATCGTCCGCGGTTTCCTCAAGCTTTCACATTTTTAGTATTTTTGTCGTCACTGGGAGTTGACATCGTCATCACACTCTGTACTGCTTGCTGCTTTTGTCTATCTGGTAGTTGACACAATCATCACTCTCTTTGCTGCACGGTGGTCGTTGCGAGTTGCGACTAGGCCTTTTTCGAGCCTTAAAAAATGCTGTAGGGCTCCGTAGCGTGTTTACAGGTCGGGTGATTTTTCAGGTACCATCATGAGAAGGCAACTATGACATTCTTGGTCTTATGAGCCGCCGTGATGCCGTTGCCACTGTGCACATGGGTTCATTTCATTTTCGTTCTTATGCTTCTCATAACACAGAGCCTAAACCCTACACCCTAAACCCTAAACCCTAAACCGCTTTCTTACTGTCAAGCTGAGGTCACCGCGTGTCTGATCTCCAGCGAGCGGGAGCCCGAAGATCTTCTCTACGACGTCTTCCTGCCTTACCTGATTAAGGCCCCAGCCGTCGTGGATGCGCTGTATCCGAAGGACGGGGTGGGGGGTTTTAGGGTTTAGGGTTTAGGGTTTAGGGTTTACGGCTTAGGGCTTAGGATCCGGGGATTACGATTCTGGGCTTGGGCTCTGGGGCTCAATGTGATGGCCTCGGTTTCGAAACCTTACAAGCTCAAGGCCTGTAGCACCCTCGCAGTACTCCATAACACCCTAACTGGGTGGCACTTTGGGAAACTTTAAAATTTCCCTTATGGTTCTTATAGAGGCACCTTCTCAGAAATACTTTTCAGGGCCCCGCAACTACAACCCAGCTAACAACACCCTGAGCCCTGAGTCGCAAGATCCCAAAATAGGTGGGTCTTCAGTGCAAGGATCCCTCTGGCACCCCTGATGTCAAGAAACCCTCAGATAGATTCTGTAACACCCTATATGCAGCCCGTCTATAACCTTTCAAAGCGAGATCCCCGATTTTCAAGGGACCCCCCCCCTCCGTGGATGGGGGTTTCAGAAGATTGGGTACCTTGTTTCGGAGTCCTTAGGACCCTAAACCCTAAACCCTAAGCCCTAAACTATAACCAGGATCCTGTAGTTGATGGGTTTGCATGACGGTCTCCGCTCTCCTCTTTGCTGCAACTCCCCAGCCCCACCAGAACCAACCAGAAAGTGTTTAGGGGTTTAGGGTTTAGGGTTTAGCGCGTCAAGGCCGGACAAGCAAAGGTGTAAAACGCCAAATGCTGAACCCTGCATTCTGCACGACCTCGACGACTAACCCAAACTCCCAAACGCTCAAAACCCCTGATCCCTTAAGTTGCTGAATCTCAACCTCCCCTCCACTACCAAACCCTCCAAAACTCCTTTGCAACGCTTCCAAACCCTAAACCCGAAACCCCTCTATGCCCAGGAGGAACCCGAAACCCTTTAAAACTCCCCTGGAGAACGCCCCAGGAGGGAGCAAAGATGCTCCTAAACCCTAAACCCTAAACCCAAAAAAACCCTAAACCCAAAAAAACCCTAAACCCTAAACCCTAAAGCCTACACCCAGGAGGGAGCGAAGATGCTCGAGGGCCTCAGCATCCCGGACTCCGACTTCCACTCGAGGCCCAGGGCCTTCGGCCCCTGGCGCGGCCTCACGCGCCCGGGCCGCGAGGGGAGAGGGGAGCCCCCTTGGCAGAGTTTTTGGGGCTTTGGGGTTTTGGGGGGTTAGGGTTTTGGGGTTTTGGAGGGTGTTGGGATTTTGGAGGGTGTTGGGATTTTGGAGGGTTTTGGGATTTGGGAGGGTTTTGGGGTTTGGGAGGATTTTGGGGTTGGTTTTGGGGATTCTGGAGGGCACTTACACAAGGAGCTTTTAAATCCCTGGCAGCCCTTACCCTAAAACCCCTGAAACCCCAAATCCTTAAACCCCCACACCCGTCAAGCGAGCCCTGAACCCCCATAGAACCCTTATTAGAAGCTGTATAAGATTCCTGACAAAATCTTGCAAGGGCCCTAAACCTGCGAAGAGAAGCTTAAAACCCCTAAACCCTAAACCCTAAACCCTTATAGAACCTTTTCAGGAACCCTTCAAAGACGACCCTTTGCAGGAGCCCTTTCAAGGAGCCCTTTAGCCTTTGAAACCTTGAACCCCACGCCCTATACCCTAAACCCCAAACCCCGAACCCTGAGCCCTAAACCCTAAAGCCCTAAAGCCCTAAAGCCCTAAAGCCCTAAAGCCCTAAAGCCCTAAAGCCCTAAAGCCCTAGTAGAATGTAAACGAAACCCTTCCGCCCAGGCTCCTGTGGAAGCATCTCCTGAGATCCAAGGCCGGGCTCACGAAGCAGCAGGCCGGACGCCGGAGTTGCCCGGAAGTAGGGCTCCTTTAAAAGGGGTTTAGGGTTTAGGGTTTTGGGTTTAGGGTTTAGGGTACTACAGTTTAGGGTTTAGGTTTAGGGTTTAGGGTTCAGGGTTTAGGGTTTGGGGTTTGGGGTTTAGGGCTCCTTCAAAAGGCTACCATAAGGGTTATTTTAGGGGTTCTATAGGGTAAAGGGTTACTTTAACAGGGCTACCATAAGGGTTATTATAGGGGCTCTATGGGGTAAAGGGTTGCTATAAGGGGTATTTCAGGGGTTCTATAGGGTAAAGGGTTACTACAAGGGTTGCTATAGGGGTTCTATATGGGGTGTCATGTCGGGGCCTTAAATTAGAGCAGGGCTCCTTAAGACCCATGGAGCTCTTGAAGTTCCTTCAAACCTGATAGGACGCCCAAAGTTCCGTAAAACGTCCATAGAACCCTAGGCCCTAAGCCCGAAACCCTAAACCCTTAATGTAGAACTCTTGTGGAGTCCCTCATGGGACCCTCCCAGCCTTCAGCCCACCCCCTGTGGTGAAGGTGAAGGCCGTCAAGTGGGAGCTCCGGGCCACCATGGTGGACATGTGCGTCCACGACCTCAAAGCATCTAAAGGCGGGCTTCCGGTAGCTTTTTTTGGGACGTGGGTGCGAAGGATTTTGCTATTTGGCGTTTTTCTCTTTGATGAAGCGACCTTAGTGCATTTTTTGGTTTCTAGTTTTATGCATTTCCTCAAAATGGTCTCAAAGGAGCAGTACAGCTAGTGCTAGTATTCCTCACGGTCGTCGCTTCTCAGTAGACTCTCTTGAGCTATTCGTAGTATTTGTTTGTTTGGCGTTCATTGTTTTCACATGAACACATGAACCTACGTTGACCCTGAACCGTACCTACAACCCAAGCTTAGAAGTTCTTGGCGCCCGTAGAAAGCCATGCCAGGCCGATACAGCCCTGGCAACACTACAAAGCCTCAGTCATAAAGCCATTTGAGAACCTTTACAGAGCCCTACACCAAACCCTATAAGCCCTGACGAAATAAAGCCTCCACACAACCCCGACAGAATCCTTACAAAACCCGCCCTTGCAACACCCAAATCAGAACCCGATAGCACCTGTAAACCCTGCTATAAGCTATAAGTTAAACCCTTGAGCCCTAAAAGCCCTATAGTAGGGGCTTGAATAGTTACCTACACTATTTTGGGGGCTCCTTATTATAATCATAGTAGAATATGCCCCAAAACCCTATGCTAATTATTCAGGCCCCTACATTAAGCCAAAACCCTAAACCCCAAACCCTAAACCCTAAACCCTAAACCCCAAACCCTAAACCCTAAACCCTAAACCCTAAACCCTAAACCCTAAACCCTGAACCCTTTTTGGGGAGCCGAGGGCTCGACTCCACCGACCTCCGGCTGCTTAAGCTGGGCTGCGGCACCATGTCCTTCGCGGCAGTCAGGAGCCCGAAGTCTACCTTGGTTTAGGGTGTAGGGTTTAGGGTTTTTGGTTTAGGGTTTAGGGTTTAGGGTTTTTGGTTTAGGGTTTAGGGTTTAGGGTTTAGGGTTTAGGGCTTGACCCACCAGAACCCACCAGAACCCGCTTTTTTGTAGGGTCCCTACAAATCCCATGTTAGGGTTTATAAGAATAACCTACAAAAAGGTGGGTTTTGGTAGGTTAAGGTAGTTTTTCCATTGAAGCAGTTCCTTCGTGAAGGGGTTTAGGGTTCAGGGTTCCCTATTGTAAGGGTTTAGGGTCCCCAACAGGTTCCTTGTCGTAGATGTTTCGAAGCAAAAAAAGTGCCTGAAGCAATATTGCTGCCATAGATACTCTTGCGGTTACTGCTATGGGCATGGTTGATGATGCTGATATGGTGCTTATAGTGATCATGATGATTATGAGTCGTACTGTTACCACTAAAGCATAAATATTGTCATAGTGAACCGAAGGCTATGGCGATTGTTGCGAGTGTTAACGATTATGCGTACCGTTTGTATTACTACAGCTGTTGCCACTATTGCCAGTCCCAGTCTTGTTCCTTTACTTGTAACTCGTGTTGTTGCGCAAATCATTTTCATTATTGTTTCTTGTTTGCTGTTGCTGTTATTGGCACTAGTGTTCCTATTCTTCATATTCTTGTCATCCGGATTAATCGTCTTGTTATAGCAGGGTTTTAGTACAATCATCTTGCGCGTACTCGTGTGGTCAGGAACCATACCTGTGCCACAGACTGCCGGTCGGACGAGGACTCTGGCTTGCTGTAAAGCAATACCGGGCTGGAGTAGCTGGGAAAAGGCTTACAGAAAGAGTGGCGAGGGTTATTGCATAGCTATACATGGGATCGAAGGAAAAACCAGAATTACGAGTTTTCCGACCGCTATATATGTAGACAACTTCTGAGCGATGTGGGGCTTGGTGGGTTGGGGTTTGCTATTCCTTCAGGGTCCGTCCAGAGTTTAGCGTCTAGGAACTAGTCAGGACCTTGCAAACTTCGTCCTCAGAGAACCCTAAACCCTAAACCCTAAACCCCGAAACCCAAAACCTATACCTGTTCACCAGTCAGGGGCAGGTTGTCGCTTTGCCTTTGGGAGCCTCACCTGGCATAGGCGGTCTAGGATCGGATCCGTCATCACATGAGGTCGTAAACCCGAAACCATCAACCCTCAACCCACATCCTAAATCCAACAACAAAACCCTTAAACCCTTAGCCCAAACCCAGATGGAGTTGGAGGTTTTTGCCATTCTCATGCATGGGACAAGGACTCCCTGAGCCTGCCTGCAGCCAACCACTCCCTCTTCGCCTGCAAGAAGTTGGTCGATGCTATCGACGTGTGCGGTTTGCAAAGTGAGGTTCAGGGTATTTGAAGACTTGTGCGGTTTGCAAAGTTTGTGCGGTTTGCAAAGTGAGGTTCAGGGAATTAGAAGGCTTCCCTTAAGGGGTATATTGTTCGTCCGATTGCCCTGCACGAAGCTCAAGCTTTCAATCCTAAACTGAACCTCCCAGGTCCTGTGCTCTCAGAAGCCGCGGACCTATGAGGGTCAGGATGGCAGCGGGGAGTTCTCTTCCTACCTGGACCTGGACACCGGGGAGGCCCGCGTTTACGGCTTGAGCTGGGCGCCGTTCTCGATCATGGTCCGTTTATATAGATACTTGGAGGATCATGGGACTTAGTGAGTAAGGTTATAAGTCCCTTAAGTGGGGTTATAAGTATAGTTACCTTAATTATAACCCTACTTGCTAAGTCCCATGATCCTTTAAGTAGCCGTGATGTGGTAATTTCGTTTGTTTCTGAGCCCCTCTACGACAGGGTCCAGAAGGCTTAAAACCCCTAAACCCCCAAACATCCGAAACCCTGGAGCCTGGGTTTATATTATAAAAACCTTAAACCCCGCAAAATCCGAAACCCTGCAGCCTCTGTCCCGGGAGGAGAAAGTCAGCCAAAGTGCGATCTTCCCCTTCTTCGACCGTCTGCTCCGGCAAGAGGCCAGGGACTCAACCTGTAGCATGAAAGAGCATCGTAGTTAGTATAATTAAACAGGCTTCACCCTGAACCCTAAGCCCTGAACCCCTCAAATCCAAAAGCCCTGAACCCTGAAAACCCTGAAGCCCTAAGCCCCAGACCNNCTAAACCCTACACCCTAAACACTAAGTGGGTAGTTATCTAAATTACCTAAAAGGGTCCTTACCCAAATCCTAAACCCGAAAGTTGAGACAAGGTCTTTCCCGGCAAGCCGAAGGGGGTGGCTGACCAGCTTCCCATCGACCTCTTGGCTCTGCCGGAAAAGGCGGGCACGTGGCGAGTGAGCCCTGATAACCCTGAACCCCCCTACTGACCCTAAACCCTAGAATCCTTAAGCCCCTAAAGTAAAAATAGAGGGTTGAACTACACCAAATCGAGGGGGTTCGAAGAAGACGCAAGCAAGGTGTCTTACCGTCCCTATCTAAAGAAACTACCCTAAACCCTAAACC